TCTACATCCGATCCGTTTCTGCCATTAAACACTCACTTCTAGCACAGACTCTTGAAAGAAGTCACCTCCAGCAAGATGGGAGGATCGCAGCCATGGCCACAGGTTCCGGTCGGAAACAAGGACCATACTGATGCCGCAGTTGTTATTATCGGAGCGGGCATCTCTGGTAGGTACAGCAATGACCATCTAATTTCCATCATGCTAACATCACCGAGGAATGTGTATGGCGATTGACCTCATCAAGCGAAACCAATGTCACAACTTCATCATCGTGGAGAAGAGCTCTAGTGTCGGCGGCACATGGCATGACAACAAGTATCCCGGCTGCTGCTGCGATGTCTGGAGTGAGTAGTTGCCAATGTACGAACTGCGTGTGAGACAAACACTGACTTCGTACAACCATCTTTAGGTATGCTATACAGTTATTCCTTCGAACAAAATCCAGATTGGACGAGAGAGTATCCGGGACAAGAGGAGATACTTGTACGTCTTTCTCTCATATCTACCTCACATTACAAACACTAACGTTTGCTGCAGGATTATCTCCGCAATGTAGCCCGCAAGTACAATCTGTACAAATACATTCGTTTCAACACATCCGTCGAAGCCGCAACGTGGGACGACTCGAAGAACCGCTGGAAGGTGGACGTGAACGTGACTGGCGGCAAAGATGCAGAGTTCAACCCCGCTTACAGTATTGAGTGCGACTTCCTGGTCTCAGCTGTCGGTCAGCTCAACCAGCCACAATACCCCGACATCGAGGGTTTGGAGAACTTCAAGGGCAAGATCATGCATTCAGCGCGATGGGACTGGAGCCACAGGCTTGAGGGCAGGAGTGTGGGCATTATTGGCAACGGTATACGCAGCAACATATGTTTGGAGCAAAGGATACTGACAAAGACACAGGTGCCACGGCTGCTCAGATCATCCCAGAAATCCTACCGCAAACCTCTTCCCTGACCATCTACCAACGATCCCCGAACTGGGTCATCCCGCGTCTCGACGGCCCTGTCAGCGCCCTCAAACGTGCCATATTGCGCTACCTACCCCCCGTTCGCTGGCGCATACGCAGTTCCATGATGGATTTCCGGGAGTCCTTCCACGACGCCGTTACGGATAGCAAGAGCGAGTTTGCAGAAGTGATTCGAAGCAGTTGCATGGAGATGATGAAGACACAAATCCCCGACCAGCCTTCACTGTGGGAGAGACTCACACCGAACTACAGCCCAGGCTGCAAACGAGTCATCATATCCGACGACTACTACCCCGCCGTATCCAACCCAAAAACTACACTCGAGACCAATAAGATCCGTCGCATTACAGAAACCGGCATCGAACTCGAAGACGGCACCCACCACGAGCACGACACCATCGTCCTCGCGACCGGCTTCCGCACAGTCGAGTTCCTCCACCCCATCAAAGTCACCGGAGCCAACTCGCGCCCCTTGGCAGAAATCTGGTCTTCCGGTGCGACAGCCCTCTACGGCACCACCATTCCCTCTCTCCCTAACTTCGGTCTTTTCTACGGCCCCAACACAAACCTAGGCCACAACTCCATCATCCTGATGATCGAAGCACAGTCTCGCTACCTCAACACCCTCGTTTCCGCCGTTCTTGATGCGCGAAACCGCGGTCAAAGAATGGGCATCATGCCCAAAGAAGACAGGACACATGAGTGGAATGAAGGTATTCAGCAGATTTTGAAGAACAGTAGTTTCGCCGACCCAAACTGCATGTCGTGGTACAAGAATAAGGAGGGGCGGATTACCAACAACTGGTCTGGAACGGTCGTCGAGTACCAGGAGCAGCTTGCCAAGATTGACTGGGAGGATTTCGAGACGACGGCTACTACTGATGAGGGAGAGAAGGATGCGAGTGCGACTGCTACTGGCGGCGTTAGTGCAAGTAAAGTAGTTTTCGGGACAGGGAAGCAGGAGACGAAGATTGGTAGGGTGCGTGAGGAGACGCTGGTGAGTAACACTACGTTGGTGCTCGGGACGTTGAGTGCGGTTGCTGCGGGTGCAGCGTGGGTCTATCGGGGTAAGCTGCCTAAGAGACTTGGGCTGCGAACTTGAAAACGCGACCTGAGACGTAGTTGCTATGTACAAGCAATATCAGAGTAACATGCGCGATGTGCAATTGCATTCTTCATCCAACCTTGACTCGTCATCACCTCAAAACCCCTGCCTCTTCCTCCACTTCCCCTCCCACCCCTCAAACCAAGGACTCTCATCTAGAGTCTGGGGTTCCCAATCCTCACTCACCAACCCCTTCTCAACCTGTTCTCTATGCCACTGTTCCAACTTGGGCTTAACAACATGCTCAACATGCCACGTCCCCTTATACTCCATCAATTCCTTCTTGCCCTCATTCAGCACCTTGAGTAACAACCCCGGTACACACTTCTCATGCCTAAACTCCTCAATCGGGGTGAACAGCGCTTTGAAGTTGAACACGACAGCGCCTGACAACGGCAGCCGGCGCAGCGTCTGCCAGTCTACGCGGAGGTGGATGCGGGATGTAGGAAGTTCAGAGGTGGGAAGTTGTTGCTTGCGGACGGCCTCGTGGGGATCGCCGGGGGGCATGTAGAGAGGAGTGTCGATTTCTAGGCCCCAGGAACCGCGTTGGATGGGCTTGTCTGTCGGCTTTTTGGCGAAGTATCTGTGGTATTGGGGTTAGCATGAGATAGTGGGGAGTGTTGAGGGAACGTACCTGTCCATGGAGAACTGCATCTTCTCCTTGTAGTCTGGAATGGGTTTGTGTATGTCGGCGAGTTCGAGACCGATCTTCGAGCCTACGTTCCAACCTAGCGCACTGCATATGATGCCTGCGCGGAAGACGTATAGTCCTGTCTTCTCGTTTCGTAGCATGATGGCGAAGTCTTCGGGGATGTTATTCAGGAGAACGTGCAAGGGTGGCGTGGCGGTGAGATCGGTGTCTGTCTTTAATATGCCATTGTGAAATGTCTTGTTGTTCGCCGATAAGTGGAAGCAATGTGGGTACCTGGCGCACACGAATTGCAGTACCATCTCCATGAGTTCTTTGCAGGCAAGCTCCGAGCCTGGTAGAGCTTGAAGGACTGCTTCGCCGTGCTCTGCAAATAGATATTGCCGTTGCTTGATTCGCTCTTCGTATGTGTTCTCGAGTTCGATCCACCAGTCAGGTTGCATCTTGGTGATTGCTATCTATGATCAGTATGGGACTTGGTGCAGCTATCAATACTACTCACACATTGTTTGATGGTAAGACCACCGAAACGGTCTATATGGCCGGGGCAGTGCCTTTTTGATGTCGAATTCTGGGTACGGGGCCGGTAGAGGTACGCCGCTGAGTGTAGCATAGTCTGGGAAATCCCCGAGGGCTCTGATCTCCTTTACAGAAAAGCCACATGGGAGGTATGTAGAGTCATCAGCATCCAGATATGATGCTTTCATCGGTAAGACATTCTTCTGCCAGTCTGGCGACAGTCCTTCGACCTTTTCTGTCTTCGCGTCTCCAACCAAAGCCCATCGTCGTGATGGTGGGAAAGTGGTGGCGTGATCAATCGGGGAAATGGACGCTGCCCTCTTCTCCGGAGAAAAAGACCTTGGAGGAGTCTTTGCGCCTGATACCCTTCGACCGCCGCTACGAAGCCGTTGTATGATGATGTTGCGCCTTCCCCGCTTGATCAGCAGGAAGACTGAACTGAGCAGAAAAGCTGCTCCCAACAGCAATGAAAGGTTGGTAGCCATTATCAAAGACCCTGAGATGATTGACAAGATAAAGATACACCCTGAACAGCGATTGATCTGGCGCTCTTCCTTCTTCTAAATGCAAGCAGTGTGGGTGGAGATGGATGACGATGAACACTGAGACAACGACGGCAGCGATAGCTTAGCTTCGGAGATATTAGATAGTTGACAAGAGCGAGGCTTCACCCAAGACATTCTATAACCGGAAATGAGGTCTGATTGTCTTATCGTTACGATGCGGGGCGGGATGACTGCTGCATAGATGTGCGAAGCGACCTGTAAGACTACCCTAAACAGGTAATGACCGCGCCACGATTGGACGCAAGCGAACAGCACGATGATGTCTCTCATCAGAAGTATGGACTGTAACTCCCAGGTTGGGATGGCTGTACGCATATCACTACTATGATTGTGGTGGGGCCTATCACCGTAGATCGCCCGCTGTGTAACCCAACGACCCTAACCTTGTATAGTATTGGAACCCCAAGCATCTTGGCGTAGGGCGTAAGGGTAGACATGGCTCTAGTCCAGTGGTTCATCGTCCGCCTTGTTGCCAGTTCAAGCGTTGCGTACGGCGCATCTCGGGGCGGCTCTAGAATTTCCCCGCTGTCGGTAATGCAGTCGCTATCGATACCCCGGACGCGCTGATACCGCTTGTGGTGAAGAAGTCCCATGGCTTGCCTTTCTGTCGGGTGCGGCTGTCTTAGTGCTTTCATGGCGTGATGCCAGGATGCAATTCGATTCGATGGGCTATCTTGGGGTTGGCGTTGGATCAGTTCGGTGGGTAGTCATGCAATGCGCGTGACTTTCGTTCAGTCCATGGATTGGCTTTGACAAGAGCGGTCGAAGCCTAGGGCCCTACTGTCATGATATGTAGAATTGACTCAATTCTCAGAGTCCGTGATGTATTACGCCGTCATGCACTCGTAGAGCTCTGAGGTCTCCACGCAAACATCAAGAGTTGGTATCGAGGACATGACGTGGAAGGATCGAAGATGGCATACATCCCGGACGAATGAGCAGCCGCTGTAAAAGCCAGATACCCTGGCTGCTAGATCTTAGCGTGGGTGAAAGTGCCAGTGGGTGTGGGAAGGTTGTAGGTAACGACTGGAGATTTGGCATTATGCGCTAGTTGCACGGGCCATGGGCCCCACGAGATAACAATCCCAAGCGTTATCGCCAGGTCTCACATAGCGACACCGGCCCATTGTTCCTCCACGACCAAGCGCTCCGTTGGGTGCTGTAATTATCGCTGGTGGATGCGCAAACTCACAAAACGATGCTGCAGTTCTCGCCCTTCAAGTACTCTTCCATGGACGTGTACTTCACGTCGATGCCCAGGTCCCACGGAAACACAACATCAGGAATGCCCCCTTCGAAGCCAAACTTGTCGAAATACTCGTACATGTCGGCAATTTCGGGACCGTATACGGGTCCCATCGCTTCTTCAATGGCCTCTCGAGGTATCTGCTTGAAGACGCATTTCACGTTGTTCACCTTCCCGAAAATGTCGCACCATTCACCAAGCGATATGAACGATCCAGCGCCGCTCAGAAGTGTTCCTGGTGGCAACTCGACGAGTGCCTTCGTGAAACGCCCTGGGTTTATCAGCAGGTGGCTATGTCGAAGACCAATGAAACTGACCAGTGTCTGCAACCGGATCGACCATGGGGATCTTCCTGTCTCCACTCATGGGTAGACTAAGAACAAAGGAGCCGTCTTCCTGCTTCTCTGGTCTCCAGTTACTTGCATAGGAGCCCAAGTGCAGCAAGCTCGTCTTGACAGAAAGCTCCGGGTATGTCTCTTTCAAGTAATTCTCGGTTTCAGCCTTTGCATCGAAGTGCAAGTTCCACTTGATGGTACCGTTGCTCCATTTCCTAGCTTCAGACAGCGTGGACAACACGAGACGGTCCAGAGTGCCGGCATGCGCCGCTGCTGCATCGATGATAGCCTTGGCTTGAGCAACTTCTCGGTCATATGCCACTTCGTTTGCTGTACGTTTCTGTTCGGCTGCAAGCTTATGTGTCGCAGGATCGTTCAGGTGACCCCAGAAGTCAGTGTTGCCGAAGATGACATTTGCACCCTTGAACCCATTCTTCAGCGACTCTAGGTCATCAAGGTTGCCTGCTACGACTTCAACGCCTTGAGATGACAACTCTGTGGCGGACGCTTTGGAAGTGTCGCGAGTGATGCCGCGAACTTTCCACTCGGGCTCGTTCAGGAACGCGCGAGCAACTGACCCACCCTATGCTTGGTTAGTGGCACGTTTATCTGGAGTGTTTCTCGATATATTGACGCATACCTGATTTCCGGTCACTCCAATAACGGCAATTAACTTAGTCATGACTCCACGAAGCTGTTCCTGGGTCTATAGTGACAAGGAGTACAATCCATCGGAAACATATGGATACAGAGCTTTATAGCCCCTCAGGTCGCCATATGAAGCTTGAGATTCGCAGTCCTTGACCGGAAGATGACGAACGAGTCGCTCCTGTTCCAGGCGTCCATTCGAATTACAGACAACAGGCTATCAGATCGGTACAACAGCTCTGCTAAAATCTTACACACGCTGCGAACCAAGAGTAGTAAGCCAATCGCGTCTTCAAGCATTAAGGAGAAGCGTTGGCTATTGGTCCTGGCTTACGACGTCATTGTACGTCTGGGCTGTGTGTTGCCGCCGGGCGTACGAAACCCCGCAATCCTTCAAGGCCTCCATCAGCAATCAATACAAATCTGCAGAGGTAGGTAAAGAGAGGGACGGACAAAATAATTACTCCTATAGGAAGTCAGTCACTTGCCACAAGACGTGGACCTCGGGAGGCGCATGGCCCACGCTAAGACCTATTAGGAAAGTCTCGGCATCCTTCAAGCATGTAGTCGAATGCAGGGTTCTTCTCACTATCGAAAGATATAGCAGTGAAAAGACCATCTCGCTTGCTAACTTGTACTCGAATAATGTCCTACAGCCACCCAGGCTGAACAGCTCATATACGCCACTCCTTGCGACAAAGCGGGCACAGCATTTCCTGTTCCATGTGTAGCATGAGCTCCAGTAAGCAAGACTTACCGTACACGTGGCCAAATGGACACGGAGCGTGTACCGGACTGTCTCTTTTCCCATCCTCATCCTCCTCATCAAAGTTGCACCAACAGTGAGGGCATCGCATATCCTCTTTTGCAATTGAATCGACGTCAATCACCGGAAGCGAGCGAACGAAGTCGCGTTTGGACTGCGCAAGCATCGGTCGTACGTGCGCAAACCATATCGGCTCGGATAATACTGGTATACGTACAAAGACATGACATAATGGGTGCTTCGCCGGGTTATCCACATGATTCCAGATGAGACCAAGGCAGTCCATCATATACTGAACGATCCAGCGATTCCGAAAGGCGATTTGTAACTCGGGTAGCCTAAGAGAAGTATCCATCTCCATACAAACCATAAATGGAGAGGTAGACGAGTAGTCAAGTAGCATGGGCGTGCCCGCTACGTACTGATAGGGCGTTATACCCGCATTGTGCATCTCATCCAGCATGGCCGCTAGTTTGTACATGCCTACACACCAGGCTTGCGGCAGCGCGAACCGATCAGGAATTGGTCTGCCGACGGTTGGATGCGCGCTAGGGATAGCTGAACGGAGCTCTATGTCCGCTTCATTCAACGTCTCTAGGAATGACCAATGCGAGAAACTCATGCCTTTGTAATTGAGGTTGGGTTCTTCGTCTTCGATGGGGGCGACGCGGGTGATGAAGCTGTCTTTCAACATCAATTCCGGAAGGTTGGCTTGACACCATCCTAGTGGACTGATGCCGACTCCGATCATCTCGTCGTACATGTCTTCGGCTGTAGTACTAACCCAGGGTGGATGGTAGACAGCATCCTCTAAAAATGGACGTCCGGTATTGTGGAACATACAATTGGTACGCACGCCTTGGAGGTAGGCGAATACGAATTCGTCAACAGTAAAAGACAAGACGGGAGCTTCCACACGAGCGAGAGGGTCGGGCTTGCTAGAGGAAGTGATAGGGGGAACTACCGACTCTTGTTGCGTAGTGAAAGTGTTTCCCATTGTTCGTTTCAACTTGGTTGTGGATTGATTGCCGCGCGCAGTTGTGGTAAGGATGATCGCTCAGGAAACCAATTACTTTGGCACTATTCAAGGTCGAGTAGGCCGCAGGCCAAGAGCGCATTCACCGGTGAAGATCACCGTGAGGGCTTCGCCCTTCAGCCACACAGTGCTCCATTTCACCTTCTTCACTTCTGCCTTCCTCTGCGGGCTCTATATTTACCTTCAGAAACACCTCAATAAAGCGTTTACCACATCTCATTCCCAACCAAAATATCAGAATGTCATCAACCTCACCACAGCCATCTTTTTCCGCTAACGAGTCTGATGCCGTTGTCTCGAGCACACAAGACGACCTCGCCGGAGACATGCCCCCGACTACGACAGATGCAAGCCCAGCGCCAGCGACATCCGACGGAGAAGAAGAGCCATCCCTAGAATCGCTAGAGAGCGAGCTTGACCAGAGCATGACACTCGTCCCATACGGCTCACCAGAGTCCACGTCAAACGGAGCTCATCCAGATGGACAAGGGCACGTCTTACCCGGCCTAGGCGGCGTGATAAACCAACCCCTTGCAGCGTTGTTCGGAGATGCACCATTCTTCACTTACGGCTTCGCGAACGCCACGGGCGCGAATCTCCCGACTCTAGGTAATCTGAATACGCATCAAGCTCTCGTTGTCCCCGCGACGACGTCTTCCCACCCTTTCCCGACATTCACGACTTCTTTTGCGCAAGTTCACCATCACCATCAACATCAACATCTACATCACTATCTACATCAACCAGTTCAACTTGCCTTATCCGACTTATTCGCCGACCAACAGACCGAGGAGCAATGGGAACAAGAACAGATCCAAGACGCTTTGCACTGGGAAATGGCAAACTCTGAATCAATGTTTGGACCTATTCGCCATCCAACTCGAACAACACGCGTGGAAGTCGCCACGGCTTTCGTCGAGACACTGGACGAAGTCGATATTACTAGTATCGAACCAGAGGATATGAAATGTCCGCTGTGCTGGCTTCCTTTCGGCAGCACCACAGACGAGGAGGGTCCAACGATCGCCACTTACCTCGACGATGAAGAGCGAGAAATCACGGAGCGCTTACATGCGAGCTATGCTCTGCCCTTCTGTGAGAACAGGCCGGACAACGACCCTGTCAGAACTCCTTGTGGGCATGTCTTCGGACGGCAGTGCCTAATCGATAGCTTGGAGACGAATATGATCTGTCCCATGTGCAGATGTCGGGTTGATGGGAACGAGGGCGTGACCTCCCCCTACCATTCCGGCTTCGGCAATATATTTTCGTGGAACACATTATCGTAGTATACGAATGGTGTAAATTTTGTTTCCTAGTTGATTTGTATATACGCTCGAGATAGGTGATACCATCTTTCTAATGCGGCCGGCGCAGGGGATGTGCTTCAGTATTGCTACAGAATTGTTAGCGTCATCCTCAACATCACAAGGGCCATACTCACAATACATATTCGTCCAAGCTGACAAGGCTTGGCTCGCTGAAGATCAGATAGAAATACTTCAGAGTTTCCGCCATCCAAAAGCTTTCACATTCATCCAACTTGAGTGTCTCTTGCCCTTGTGGTATTGTGACATCGGCGATGGCAGAATGAGCGAACTCTGCATGAGTGGCGTTGTTGATGGCCTCGAACATGCGCCAGGCAGTGTCTTGGAGGGTGGTGTCGCCGGTGATACGATAGAGGACGAATACTGATTCGATGGCTTCTGGGCTGTGACTGATGTTAGCTACGCATGTCAGAAGTGATGCGCATACTTACCGTAACAAGAATCGCGGGTCACCAATCTTAGAGAAGCCCGGCTGCAGCCCTACCTCCTTGATGACGTCTTGAACGTCATAATGCTCCGCGTGGATGTTGTTGGAGTAAGAGTACCTGACAGAGGCATGCCATTTCTCCACATCCCACGCGCAATCTTCTTCTCCAAAGCACGGCATCATCCGGAAGGTTTCTGGCATGATACCCGTAGGCATAGTATCATAAGCCCAGGTGCATCCGTCCACTAACTTGCGAGCGACGTCTAGCTCATCCGTCCGATTGAAGATCTTTGCGCCCAAAGCAACCATGCCACCCGTAAAGCAAGCGAGGTGCTGGCCGTTGGGTTCGAGCTTGACAGTGCCTGAGGTGCTGATTCGCGCATCGCCAGAGACGAGGATGTTGTCACCCTGGGGTATCCTGGGCCGGAAGAACAAATGCTCTTTCGCTGGCTCGATGGCGCGCTCGTATAGCTTGCGGTATTGGTCTGTCAGACCCCCGAGAAGCAAATGCTGCTTCGGCAAGTATTCGTACAGCGAATCAGTCATTCCACCCATTGTGAATGATCCGTCAACGTTGTATTCCTCCCTCCCTGGACTGACCAGTATTGGGAACAGCCCTGGTATCTTCGTCCGGTTCTGATGCTTTTCGAGCACGTCGGTGATTCTCGCTATCGCGTCGTAGTACTTCGCATCGCCGGTAAGCTGCGACAGGCGGGTGAATTCGAGTGATAGCGATCCTATCTCAGCGCTGAGAGCTTGCGTGTCAGCCTCTTGGTGGCCGTTCAGAGCAGCACTGATCTTTGTTAGTCTGTGTGGGTCGGTGGCATGGCGCAGTCATACTTTTCCCAGTCCCATCGGGTGATGGGCATCCTGTTCGGCGTGTCAAAGGCGGCGTAGAGCATATCCCCCAACTCGGTCGCCTTGTGTAGTAGTGCATGGTGTGTCGCCTTGCTCAGATCGTATGCGCTTAGAAGACCCCCCAGATAGCGGATCGTAGTCTCGAAGACGTTCAGACGCGCGACACCTGCAGTGGTGAAGTCAATCTTCTTGATGGCATGTACGGCCTCCTCAAATTCCTCTTCTAACCCTAGGATGATCAAAGTATCCAGGGTGTCAACTAGAGTTGCTCCCCGCTGCCCGAAGCCGTTCTTGAAGCCTCCTGTTACCGGAGTGACTTCATCCTGTAGCCACGCGTGGGTCTTATATCCTCCCCAGCTGTGTAAAAATGCCTTCTTTACAGCAGCTTGTCTATGCAATCTCTCCGCCTTGGTGTGTTCCGTCTCAATGCCAAATTCATGTTGGATTCTCGGGATGGCGACCGGGGCGCCAGTGGGGAGAGGAGCTAGCGATGATACCGGGTTGCGCACCGGAATGCTCTTCCATTGTACGGCGTGATCGATTCGGGTCGACGAGGTGAACGTCGGCAGGGGGAGTCCGTTTCGGGCGCTGAGTTGGCGAAAGGCAAGGATGACAAAGGTAGCGAATACAAGTAGCACAGCAATGCGTCGGATAATGGGGCTCATAATGTCTATTGAGGGTATCTCAAACTAAAATGGAAGAAACGCGACTGCTGCGCGACGGAACACAGGGCCAGCATCCGAAGATGCAAAAGAGCAATTGAATGGAACAAGAATGTATCGACAATACAGGAAACAAAAGAGACAGGCGATATGCAATAGACACAGCGAATGCGACCAGGTGGGATGAAAGAAGGAGCCCCGTGGTGATGCACATGCTAAAGATAGGCTGAAGTGCCGATCCTCCGACCCTGAGCTAGCGGCTCTGCGCGTCGTCATCGTCAACCCATTACCACCACCCGTGGACCACTATCAACCTCGCAATGTCAAGGAGATATCTCTGGGAGCAGCAATTGACTGCTTGGCTGCTAGCGCGACTGCCGCGGACGGCTTTCTTGTCTCACGTGCAGTAGGCAGCAGTCATGGATGCTTACTCAGGAGACCACGCGCGATGTGAGACTGCGAGACAGCCAGCCATCTTCATCGGTGTATCATACAACGGCGCTCCATTCACCGTGTGTAATATGAAGTCTGCGTATCGCCATGTCAGCAAGGTTTCGGGAATTTTGCGTCGTTGAAAGCTATATGGGCCACGAGCTTCGCACCTTCTGCTTTCATCATCTCATCACTGCGCGCTAAGTTACCTCAAGAACAACAAACCTTACATTGACAGGATGTTTACACTCTTCGGAGATCGCGCCCCTTCATCGCCCCCAGATCCGGCCAAACTCCAGCTCCGACCCAACGAATGCCAAGTGCACAGCCTTTCTGACGGGCGCTCTCTTGGCTTCGCAACCTATGGATCTACGAACTCGTCGCACCCTGTCATCTTCCTTTTTCATGGCCTGCCAGGCTGTCGTTTGGTCGGAAGAAGCTGGGACAAGCTCTGCAGGGACATCGGCGCGCGTCTCATCGCCATAGATCGTCCAGGCTGTGGAGATTCGACGCTCGCGGACCGCAGTCTCGTTGACTGGCCTGCAGATGTTGTGAGCCTCGCAAACCATCTCAACATTGAGCGCTTCAGCGTGCTCGGTGCTAGCGGAGGCGGACCATACGCGTTGGCCTGCGCACGCTTCATTCCCCAAAAACGACTTCGGGCGGCGACTGTAGTGTGCGGTATTGGACCCATCGAGGCACTTCTAGACACTGTGCCCTATCTATCATGGCGGCTCATGGGTATAACTCCATGGCTGCTACGACAAGGGGCCCTCCGTATCTTCCTACCTCACATCCTCATTCGTCCCTACCTCACTAGGGACCCTTCCCGCCTCAAGCGTGTCCTCGAAGACCAAGCCAAGACTCCAGAAGAGAAAGAGCAATTTCGCGACAACAGCGGAGAGACCGATCTTGACGACGTTGTCGCATCATTACTTGAGGCTTTCAAGCAAGGCGCTGGCGGATGCATGCAGGATGGTGCTGCGCTTACGAGAGAATGGGGCTTTGATCTGAAGGACGTAGACAGCGAACGCATTTGGCTAGTACATGGCGACCAAGATGCGCAGGCGCCGTTGAAGGTTGCGCAATGGATCGATGAGAGATTGGGGGGCGGAAGACTGCGGACGCTCGAGGGCAAGACGCATTTTACGATCTGGAAAGAACATTCGGAGGAGATATTCCGACAAAGCGCTGAGGCGTAAGTATATCGGTGGATGAATCAGTGTTCGCAAGTTCCGCTGCAAGCGCTCTTCT